GCCGGTGGAGGGGGAGCGGGCTGCTGTCCCCAAACTGCACTGTGTGTCGTCCCCCCCCGCCTCCCCGCGTCCCCTCTTCCCTGCCCGACGCTCGCACCCATCAGCTTCGTGGGCTTCGCCCGCATGTCGCCGTGTATCGTTAGGTGGTTCGCTCGTGGTTTAACAGGAGGCTGTCACGTAGCTTAGATCCAAACCCTTCGCTGGGTTCGTTAGGTTGTGGTTGCCCTTAGAAGCACTTGGTGTCTAACTGCCGGGGACACAAGTGGCCGGGCCGAGGGAGGAGGCTCCGTCACTGCCGCCGCCACCGTTAACCTCTTGGACAACGCTGTCCCCTCGTAGCCGTGGGTGGCGGAAGGCCTGTCCCGAGGAGCTCGCCACGGCCGTGCCGCAGGGAGGACGCGTTCCTGGAGCGATGCCCGGAGCTGGAGCTGGAGGTGGCGGGGGGCTGAGCGGTGTCGCAGGGTGCCCGGGGACACTCCTGCGCCCGCGACAAGGTTGAACGGGCAGCACTGCCCCGCAGTGTGCTCTGCAGCCACGGGACCGCTTTTGAAGGCCAGGGGTGCTCACGCTGCGCCCCTGCCCTGCTGCGCTCTCCCCTTACACCTCACACACCTCCGTCCCGTGTCCCCCTCCTCGTCCCTGTCCCCTCCGCACCCCGCCGGACCTTGCCCGCCCACGGGGGATGCTGCTGGGCACGGTGCGTTGGGCACCAGCACTGCCTGCGCCACAGCCACAGGCAGCAACTGGGATTTCTTTTTTGGCGTTTCCCAGTGGTTGGGTTGCTTTATTTTTTTGTTTTGTTTGTTTGTTCGTTTGTTTTAAACCCCGTGTTGATTCCTGTCTGTCCTTAACGAGTCCCTGTGTCACCCGGCGGCAGTCCCCTCCGGGCCGGCTGCTCCGCCATCAATGCAGAGCTATTTGCACTATAGTAATACACACAATTGCACATAACGAAATGAATTAATATTTATGGCGAGGGGTGCTGATTCCCTTCTGGTGATTGCATTGTCGGGGTCGGGTTATATTTTTTGGGTTGGGTTTTTTCATTTTGTTCCTGTGACTGACTCATTCTTTCCTGTTCCTTTTTTCTTTTTTTATTTTTTTTTTCCCTCCCCCTTTGCCTAATGTTGTTGTTCAAAACGATGGTGCATCATGTTACTAAGAATTTCCCTGGATCTTGAACGACGTGTGGGGTTTTTATTAGCAAGCAGCGGGTGACGGACATCCCTGGAACACCGCGGCGCCGCTGGCATGGAGGGTTTGCTCCCCAGGAGCATCCCCCTGCCCGGGGCACTGCTGCGGTGGGAAAAGCCTGTGCGAGGAATTGGGAGGGAGGGGAAGGATGTTTTTGGGTGGAGGGTGCCTGGACTCCCAGTAATGGGGTTGTTTGGGGTTTTTTTTTTTGGAAGGGCAGGATGCAGCAGAGCCCCTGGGGTTTTGCCTGGGGTGGGGAGCAGGGGGGAAGCCTGGGGGCTGCAGCATCCCGAGTGCACAGTGACAGCAGGCGGGGACAGCAGGGACACCCCCTTTCCTGCACACGGCCCTGTGGGGTACTGGTGACAACCCCCATGTTCCCCGTGAGGCTTGGTCCTGGGGTGGGTGGCACAGCAGCAGTGTGTCCCTGGCCCAGGAGTGCCACGGCAGAGGCATCAAGGGCAAGGATGGCATCCCCCAGCGCCAGCTCTAAACGAAGAAAGTCTTAACGAAGCAGCGTTTAGGCAGTGACACGATGCTGTGACGACCCTCTTGCCACAGCAGGAGCTGCTGGCCATGCGTGGTGCTGTTGGGGTGACAGCTTGGGGACAGGACCAGGACTGGTCACCAGCCAGGCTCTGCTGCTCAGGGACAGCTGGGGTGGGTGCCAGCAGGGTCACCACTGCTGTTGGCACCGCTCTGGCCACCAAGGAGGTGGTGGCCACAGGCAGTAGGAGATGCATCACAGTCCCCAGGTGGCCGCTGCTCCCCTCTGGCTGCAGCGTGGTTGTTATTCCCATCATGGGAATAATAAAGATTGTTTTGGGTTTTTTTCCCCAGTGGAGGCCAAGAGCAGCTCCAGCGCTGGTGGGCATGGATCCTGCTCCCTGCCTTGTGGGGGGAAAAGGGGGGTGTCCTCCAAAACGTGACCTGGAAGGGCTCAGTCCAGCCTGGCAAAGCCCATGGGCTGAAGGATTTTTGAGTGGCAGGTGCCTCTGGGAGCAGAGCGGTGTGGGGGGGGTCCCCATCTCTTCCACCACAGGCAACCCCAAACACTCTCTCAGCCCCCTTACAGCTGTAGGGGATGTGGGCAGGGGGCTGCCCAGATGTGCACGTGTGTGTCCCCATCCCAAACATACCCCAGGGCAGCACCGGCCCCTGGCTGCGCATGGGGAGATGAGGCAGCTCCAAGGATGACAAGGAGATGCTTCCAAGCCCTTTGCATCCAGAGCAGCACGACACCCTCCGCACCAGCACTCGGCCACAGTCATCCCCCCGCCCCGCTCCGCGCCGCGCAGCATCCCAACCGCTTCACCATCATCTCCTGCGTTTCACCCTGCACCGCACAAGCCCTGCCTGAGCAAAGCGCTGCCCCGCGCTGCGCCTCCACGCCGGGCGCAGAGAGCGGGCCCGCGGCCGGGCATGGCTGTGGTCCGGTCCCCGCCGGCCTCGCTGGGCTGGCAGCGTTGGGTCACTTGATTTCGGGCAGCTTTTAAAAACGTGGTGCTGCGACGCCACCGATTCTGGAGTCTGACCTGCTGCTATCAGCTTTGTTTCTCTTCAAAAAAACCCAAACCACCACCCCCAACCACCCCAAACCCAAACCTTTCTTTCCTTTTATGAGCAGTTTTCGATTTTGGCCAAAAATTGCTGTGCCCACCACTCCTCCAGGTCGATGGGAACAAAGTCTGAAAGAGAGGGGAGAGTGTAGCAGAGCAGCTGGAGTGGGGAGCAGAGCTCCGGCTGCTCCCCCTGAGCCACACCATTTCCCACTGGGGGAAAAAAAAAGCCATGACACCCCCAAATTTCCCCCACCCCTGTCCCCAAAAGGCCAGGCTGGTTTACAGGGACCTTTTCTTCTTGGGGACTTCGCGGCCGCTGCAGGAGCCTCCCCCCCCAGCTGCATTCACAGCCCTTACTCCAGCAGCCATCAGAGATGCCCCAGTTGTCCTTGTCCCTACCTGCTTGGTCCCGCGGGGGGGTGGGGCAGGTCCCCACAAGCAGGACCTGGGGGGGTGTTCCCTCTCTGACCCCACCTCGGTGGCCGGAGGAGGCATGATGTCCAGAAGAGTCATCACCCAGGCGCCCTGCCTGCTTGGGCTCCTCCGAGGGGACCCAGTGGGACACCCCACCACAGTGCCGGGGACCAGCACCCCCCCAGCACCCCCAGGACATACCCAACCAGCACATCCAGCACCGGGATCCTCCTCCTTCTCCCACTGCAGCCCTGCTCAGGTGCCCGGCTGAGCCCACACCAGCTCATCACACCCATGACCCCGACTGCTTCCCACTTACTTTTCAGTCCGGGGTTGGGGGTCTTCTCTACGTACTGCACGGGGCCACAGGCGCTCTCCCCGCTCCGGCTGCCGTCCAGCTGCTGCTCTACCTGCTGCCAGGCTGGGAGGGGGTAGAAACAGGCAGTTTTGGGGTGGGGATTCCCCAGCCCGGGGTGGGGGAAGCGGGAGAGGAGCAGGAGCTGGTGGGGGGTACGCAGGCTGCGGGCCCCATCCCCGCCACCGACGGCCCCAGCAAGACGGAGGAGGGACCCCACGTGCTCCAGTGTCATCCCCCAACCCCGGGATGGGATGGCGAGCGGGCGTGTGTCCTCACGGACCTTCTGCCCTCACCTTCATAGACGAAGCGGACATTCTCCTCGTGGGCCAACGTGTAGCACTCCTCCGGGGCCGAGACCTGCTGCGGCAGCACGTGCGGCTTCTTGCCGTTCACTCTGTTGAAGACGAGTTTCTGGGCTGGGCTGCAGAGGGATACGGGGGGGACATCATCACGGGAGGGGGGACATCATC